ACCAATGTATACCGTCCACGTACTGATTTATGATTTTATCTGCACTTTCTGACTCCGTGAAACGTATAAAACCAACCTGTAAGCCCACCACCTCATTCAGGGTTCTTAAGTTTCTGTCCTTATTTTCTGCTCAGAATAAACGCATTCATTTTAGAGTGTTTGGGCTTTTTCGGTTAACAAGCCACAAGGCCTTAATTTAGTTTTTAAGAGCAGAAAGAAGTGACTGGACATCCCACAGACCGCAGCCCCTCCCACGCACGACCCCGCACTCCTAGTCGGGACCCTCACCGATGACCCTCCCGCGGTTGCTGCACAATCTGGGGACATGCGGGGCTTTGGGCGCGGAGCTGCCCAGATAGGGCTACCGGGTAGGAGCCGAAGTCGCCGCGGGGGGGGCGGGATAGGGACGCCAAGGGCCCGGCTCTCAGCCCAGCCCCACCCTGTGGGGACAGAGGGACCGAAGGCCGAGATGCGCCGGCGGCGACTCGGGTCCGCAGACTATGGAGCTGACCGCAGGGAGGCCCGGGTCCCGCAACAGCAGCGAACGGGCGGTTCCAACCAGCCCCTGCTCCCTTAACCGGCACCGCACACTCACCATTTCCCGGCCTCCAGGAGTCCCAGCGTCGTCTCTATGGCTCTTACGACCAGTGCACGTCACAGAGGAGGTGACGCCGCGACAGAAGCTGTAGCGTAGACACCTGAGGGCTATCAGAGCAGCGAACGCCAGACCTCAGGCGCCGCAGGCGCAAACCCACAGAGGACTAGAGAGAGGTTAAAGGTCGCCGCCTTCTTCCGGCGGTGCGTCGGCATGGGCGGTTCGCGGGTCCTGTCTTAGCGCCCCTGATTGGATGAGGCTTCAGGCCCCGCCCCCTAACGCCTGAGTGACAGGCTGAGACGAGAAACAGAAACCCGCGGAGACTGATTGACAAGTTCTAGCCACTGCCTCTCAAGCTCATCTCTCAGTGGATATTTCCAATGCAGCCCAACTTGTTCCAGATTGCTAGGAGGGATCACGCGCGTGTAAGGGAATTCCAGACTCAGTGTCGGGCGGCGCCATCCCTTTGCCTCAGGGCTGGAGGTGATCCCAGAACTGAGGGCGTTCTGGGCCTCGCAGCAGAACCGGCTCCGTGGCCCGGACCCTGGCGGAGTGGGGAACCTCGGACTGTATGCGCGATGACTCCAGAGCTTCGCGTGGAACTGGGATTGAAGGAAGAGAGGGTCGGTGGCACTGATGGATCCCGGGGTTAGGGAACCTGATGCAGCCAGGAATGGTGGCTTTTTTAGGAGGACGTGGATGTTGGGAGGTCGGGGTGCAGCTAGCGAAGGTGTGGGCGTAGGGGAAGGAGGCGTGGAAAGGCGCGAGAAAAAGTTCAGAGCGTGGCCAAGACAGTTCAGGCTGAGGAGGAGGGACACCCTGGAGGGGATTAGGCTCAGGCCGCATAGTGGGGCCAGTGTGGGTATGTCGGGGGCCCAGAGTGACTGGAGCTAGTGAGGCAGCTAGGAGGCTTCAGAGGGAAGGGTTGGAGGCAGGGCGTGTGGTCAGCCTAGGACGGGGAGCCAAGAGTTAAGGGGCTGCAGTAGGCATGCTGTAAGTATGTGTCCTGTCAACCTGAAATAAAGGAGAGGATCAGAACGCAGTTTCTTGGTTTTGGTTTTGTTTTTTAACTTTCAAATGAAGGCATAACAGAATCCAGTTTTGAAGACTTTATTCAAGCCAGAAGTTGTGATTGGCCATTGAGGAAAACACACACTTCAGAGAAATGGGCTCAGTACTTGAAAGTTAAAAGTTTTTGCTTATATAAGCAGAAAAAAAGAAATCTTTTATAACAGGACAACATTTTCTCTACAAGGCTGGTTTATGAGTTACAATTTAATTTGTTTTCTTTTCCATGCTGCATGTTTTATTTTCTTTCAGAAGCTTTCATTCCCTTCCAAATTTAATACCATGTATTTAATATTCCATCTTAAGATGTGACAGCCTTGAAGTCCATGGGAGAAAGGTACGAGGGAAATTAATCTATAATTGTTCCTGCTCAACAGGGTTCTATTGCCCATTGCAGAGAAGGAAGCCAATGCACTGAGACAGCAGGGGTTGCAGTGGAGAAATACTTTAATATCATATGTAGGGTGCTGAGCAAAGAGACAGGAGAAATTTCTCACATCTGTCTCCCCTGGAATTTTGGATTCAGGGTTTTTAAAGATAGTGGGGGACAAAAGGCTAGGCAACTGGGTTGCTGATTGGCTGGGGATGAGCTTATAGGGTTGAAGATAAGAAGACAACATAAATTGTCTTCTTGTGCTGAGTCAATTCCTAGGTAGAGGGTCCCAGGACCTGTTGAGTCAGTTCCTAAGTATGGCCGCTGGTCTGGTTGGCATCAGTGGCTTCAGAGGGAAGGGTTGAAGCCTTCACTTGAACCCAGAGTCTGCAAAATATCTCAAAGACCAGTCTTAGGTTTCATAATAGAGATGGTATGTGTGATGTGAATAGGCAAGTTACCAATCTTATTATGATGGCCAGGGATACGTGACTCCTACGGAGTAAGCTATAGGAAGTCAAGCTATGAAACAATGGCTGGTTAACTTTCAGCCGAGCCTATACTTCTGTGGAAATCAGATTTCTACCACGGGTCTTGCCTTATGGCACCATGTTACATTAATATAGTGGGTTTCATAATGAAGATCTGTAGTGCAGAGGGAATTGGTCTTCCCTGGCTCCCCTTAGTCATTTATAAGATTTTACAAAACAGTGTAGGTAAGGAAGAAGGCTAATCTCTAACCAGAGAAACAAAGGCTACACAGGAGCCTGTCAGGTGACTGTGACCCCATAATCACATTGCTTTGAGGCTCCAAATAATTTACAGTTCCACCAGCTTAGATTTTGAATTACTCATTTTCACAGCCCCTAACAGTCTTCAGGTCACGTTTCTTCCTGTTGTTCTCTCCAAGATGGAAGGATCCCTGGGCCTGGACCTTAACTGCTATCCTTGTACCCATGAGAGGTGACCTTGTCCTGTTTGGAAAACCCATCCCGTTCTCTTTCCTCTGTGTGTGTAATGAGGTTGGATCATCTCTGTACTTTGCTCAGATTCTCCTTCCTCCCTCTGGGGCCGAGGAAAAGGAGATACATCTGACCCATTCATGTGTGTTTGTGAAACAGGCAGTAGCAAATAGTTTTTTGATTTCTGGGCATTAGGCTTACACAAGGAGACCAGACACCTTTGGCGGAATATTCCTGAACAAATCACAGATGATTGAATTGTCTAAAAGAAACAGCTTTCCTACTTGAGAAAATTTAAAGAGTTTCTGTTTAAATTATTCCCTTCATGAACAATCTAATGTTTCTATTGATGATCTTAGTAGTTATCCTATTTTTCTTTAATTAATGCTTATTGAATAATATGGTACTTTTGGTTTTACAGCAAGGGAATTAATTAAATTTTGAGACTTTTGTGTTTTTTTGAGACCTGGTCTGCCTATGTTGTCTGGCTTAGAGTGCAGTGGCATGATCATAGCTCACTGCACACTGCAGCCTCCAACTCCTGGGCTCAAGCAATCCTCCCACCTCAGCCTCCTGAGCTGGGACTACAGGCATACCACTGAGCCTTGGTAATTTTTTTGTGTGTAGAATCAGGGTCTGTTGCCCAGGCTGGTTATACAACTCCTGGCCTCAAGAGATCATCTGGCCTCAGCCTCCCAAAGTGACAAGATTATCAGAGTGATCCACCATTCCCAGTGGAGACTTTCATTTTTCAAAGGATACTGTACTGCAATTACCAATGCACATGACAACAATGTTTTGAAAGGTTAAATTTATGCTGTCCACCTATCTTTATATCCTTATAATAAATTTTTTTATTTTTATTAAAAAAGAAACAGCTTTCTACCATAAATGAGAGTGGGAAAGATAGGGAAGAAAGCCTATTGGTGTGTAGCCAACTGTTCAGAACCCCAGGGGTTATGTAGAGTCCCCAAGCACTCAGAGGCCTCTCTTTTCTATATTGGGCTTTTTTCTGCAGCCTTGAGTTAATCTCACCCCTGCTGCTTTGTCATGGGCAAGGAGTGCTGCTTTAGGCTTTTGTGACCTGACTGTTCCTCTGCCACATATGGGGAGTACCACCCAGGGCTGAGAACTGCTGCAGCAGAGATAAACCTGAACCTGCAACCTTCACAGTAAATGAAAAAGAGAATAAGATTTCTTAGTATACGATTTGTTTAAAAAAAAAAAAAAAACCAGTTAAATTATTTTTAAAAAAACATGTACAGAAGAAATCTTGGTGGTTAAAAATATACACATTGTTTTTAATCACATAAAATCAAACACACTTCAAAATGAACTGAGGCATACATTCTGCTACAAATAACAGGAAACACTTGAAGTTTCCTAAGAAGAAAAAAGTGCTTATCGCACAGGAAAGTTCTGGGTGAGACCAATCACTGTACAGTGCAGCAGAGGACGAAGCTCCCACCTAGTTGGTTTTGATGACAGCACTGTAGGTGTCATGCTGAATCAGGAACAGAGGTACTACCTGTAGGAACAAAGGATGCTTGAGCATCCTTAAGGAAAATGTAATGGTGGATGGATCTTCATTGTGCAGCTTCTGGGGGCATCTTTGGAAACCTGCACCACTGGGAAAGTGAAAGCAAGTGATTTAGAGGATACCTTTGATTAGCAAGCAAGCCAAGTAATTAGGAAAAAGAGCTGGTAACAAGTGTTCGCATGGCCCATATGAATTGACTGTCTCCCTGTATGATGCCTCTAAAATGTAACTAATGCCTTCCTTGTGTCTGCCTCTGAAATCTCATATAAAGTCTATTTATGAAGTGTGTCATGGAATCATCCAACTCCAGTTGTAGGTTTTATTATAGTCTCAGAGGTCTCTCTTCTCCACTCAAAAGTCAATTATCTCATGGGGTCTCTCTGTACTATGTTTCAAGAAAACTGGGACAATCGAATGCTTTCCCAATTCCTTACATTAATAGGATTTCTCTCATGTATTCACAGCATGAGCTTTTTCATGTTTTCGACAGGTACTGGAACAAGTGAAGGCTTTCCCACAGTGCTTACATTCATAGGGTGAGTCCTTCCATGTATTCGAATGTACCTGGCAGACCTGAAGGCTTTCCCACACTGCTGACATTCATAGGGCTTCTCTCCAGTGTGAGTCCTTTTATGATACAGCAAGGAAGTGGAAGAAATGAAAGCTTTCCCACATTCCCTACATTCATAGGGCTTCTCTCCAGTGTGAGTCTTTTTATGATATCGCAAGGAAGTGGCCCAACTGAATGCTTTACTGCATTGCTTACATTTATAGGGTTTCTCTCCAGTGTGAGTTCTTTCATGGTTTTGAAATGATCTGGAAGAATAAAAGGCTTTCCCACATATTTTACATTTGTGAGGTCTGTCTCCAGTGTGCATTCTCATGTGTCTTTGAAAGCTTATAAGACGAGATAATGCTTTCCCACATTGCTTACATTCATAGGGTTTCTCTCCAGTGTGGGTCCTTCCATGTCTACGAAAGGAACTGAGACAGTTGAATGATTTCCCACATTCTTTACATTCATAAGGCTTCTCTCCCATGTGAGTCCTTTCATGTCTACGAAAGGAATTTGAAAACTTGAATGCTTTCCCACATTCTTTACATTCATAAGGCTTCTCTCCAGTGTGAGTTCTTTCATGTATTCGAACTGAACTGGACCAACTGAAGGCTTTACCACATTGTTTACATTTATACGGTTTCTCTCCAGTGTGAGTTCTTTCATGTTTAATATATAAACTGAGACAGCCCAAGGCTTTCCCACAAAACTTACATTTATAACGTCCATCTCCATTGTGTATTACCATGTGTCTTCGAATGCCTGAGAGAGAAATGAAGGTTTTCCCACATTCCTTACATTCATAAGGTTTCTTTTCTATAGTAGGCTTTTGATGTGTTTGAAAGGGGTGGTGTGACCTGAAGGCTTTCCCACGTTGCTTATGTGTATATGGCATCTCACCATATTCCTGATACTTATGTGGTTTGGGTCCAGTATCAGCTTTGATGTGCCTATTAGGGGATGAATGACCAATGGATATGTCTGCACACACACTGCTTTCACATGGTTTTATGCCACGAGGAGTTTTCTTAATCAGCATGTGATCTGGCACCAGGCTGAAGGTTTCTCCAAACTGACTACCTTCTTTACTTTCAAAGAGTCTCTCTCCCAGAAGACTTCTGTAGAAAATGAGAAGCACATTACTAAGGGTTTGTGTGTGAATGGTTTTTTATTTAGTAATAAGTATTATATTTTTAACATTATCAAGGAAAGTGATGTTTTTAGAGAAAATTTTGCAGGTATAAATAAATCTGACACTGCACTTGTTTTGTTTGCATATTTTTAACATTTTCTGACATTCTAAGATTCTCTTGAGATATATGGCTTTGTCTTATGAGCACTTACTACCTTAGATTTCTCCTGGGGTTTTTGTACTGATCTTCGATGTTCTGGTCTTTCCATTTTTTTCCTAAAATACATAGCCAGAAAAATAATTGTTACGAAATTATGAAAACATTATTACCTTCCATATTCGCAGTACACTGTAGCCATGCCTGATTTATTCACCAAAATATTCCTTCCCCATATTCAATTTCATTGAACAGTGCTGATGAGCTAAAACACTGGTTCTCTAATTCACTGTGTGAAGGTATACTGTCACCCTTACCTACAGAGGCCAGGTTCCTGAAGGTTTCCTGCATCACATCTCTGTAGAGATTCTTCTGAGAAGGATCCAGCAAAGCCCACTCCTCCAGGGTGAAGTTCACAGCCACATCCTCAAAGGCCACTGAGTCCTGAAACATCCCACATGTGTAGAGGAGAACGGGTGAGACCAATAGCATTGGGGACCTATTCTGTATTCCTAAGAAGGTCACACAATGCTGCGGACTCCAAACTCTTCTTTTATGACTTGGTCATCCGAGTCTTACTCTCCGTCTACACTTATTTCTACCCCCACACCAATTCTGATGCTAGAATTGAACTACTGGATAAAGCAAAAGTACAATAAGAAAACATGATTTTTTGTGTGTGGATCCAGGAAGAAAGATGTGTTGCCTGGGTCACCCCCAATTTGTCTTTGTACAGTGGATCTGCAGCACCTGGCTGGACACGTTCAGGGTGGCATGACCATATATTCTTCAATTTCTTCACGGTGTCCTTTGAAGCACAAAAGGTTTAAATACTAATGTAGTCTAAACTACATACTTTTCCTTTGTTCCTAGCTCTTCTGTTGTCATATCATAGAATCTTTTTCCTAAATACAAGATAATGAAAATTTTTGGGTGGCATGCTCTGTAACATCAACAGGGTGATGTTCTCCTTTGTTCCCGTGGGAGGACAAGCTAGTGTATTTAAATAATTCTGCAGGCTGACATGGAACTGAAAGCTACTATACTATGGAGGATAAAACTATATAAATTTGTACTATAACAGCATAATACTTCATCATGCTATATACCATAATACTCTTCATATATGATAGCTGTGTATCATATACAAGTTATATATAATATATACCAATTACCTATAAAAACTCTGTGTATGCATATATATATGTATGTGTGTATATATAGAGAAACACTAGATACTGTACTAGATAATGCTAGGCTATACTATAATACTTTACAGAAATATCTCCTTTAAATACTGAAGGAAAAGCCTCAGTCACATACTTGCAAAGAGAATCCAGGAATGTATCACAATATCTATACCCCATGATCATGTGGGATTTAATCCAGAAAAGCAACATTGCTTTCACTTGGGAAAATCAATTCATGCAATTTATCATATTAACAGAATTAAAATCAAAAACCACAAGTACATTTTAATACATGCAGTAAACGCATGTGACAAACCTCAACATCCCTTCATGATAAAAACACTCAATAAACTAAAAATAGATGAGAACTCCCTCAATCTATTATAAGGCATGTATAAAAAATGCACAGCTACTACCATACTTGATGGCGAATATTAAACGCTTTATCCCAAAGATGAGAAACAGACAAGGATGTCTGCTTTCAACAATTCTATTTGACTTGGGAAAGGAGGTTAGACTAGGCCAACCAGGCCAGAAAATAAAATAAAAGCCAGATTTATAGGGCATACACATGTAGCCCTCTGACAAAGCCTTTGTCACTGAATATAACATGTACAAATAGACACAGAAATACAGTAGATCCAAAATGGTCAACACGATACCTAAGTAAAAAGGCTGACTACAAGACTTCCTATAAAGCTAAAGCAATCAAGACAGTGTGGAATTTTGAAAGGAGTACACAAATACATCAGTAGAACACAATGGAGAACCTGGAAATAAACCCACACTTATATAGTAACCTAACCTTCCAAAAAGGAGCCACAGGCAGTTCAATGGAGATACTATATATAGTCTTTTCAATATAAGATAAAGGAAGACCTGTATTACAATATGCAAGGAAATAAATTCGACACAGAATTTACAAGTGTCACAAAGGTACCTGAAAATGCATCATTAACCTAAATGGAAAATGCAAAGTTCAGAACTTGCAGAAGATAACAGGTGAAAATCAAGACCACCTTGAATTTGGCAAGAAGGCTTCACATACAACATCAAAGGCAAGATCTGTAAATGAGAAAATTGATAAATTGGACTTTATTCAAATGAAAACTTTCTGTTTTGCAAAAGACATGGTTAATAGCACGAAAGGCTGCAGACTGGGACAAATTATTTGCAAAACACCTATCTTATAAAGGACTGCTATGCAAAATATACAAAGAATGCCCAAAACTCAAGAAGAAAACAGCCAACCCAATTAAAAAATTAGCAAAAGATCCAGAAATACACTTCGCCCAAGGAGACACACATATAGCAAACAAACATATGACAAGATGCTAAACACCACATGTCACTAGAGAAGAGCAAATGAAAATGATGAGCTATCATCAATTACCTGGTAGAGTGGCTAATATCTAAAACACTGACACCACCCAATGCTGGGGAAAATGTGAAGCATCAGGAACTCTCATTCACAGCTGGTGTGAATGGAAAACCTTACAGTCCCTTTCAAAGACATTAGGCACACTGTTAAGATAACCAGGGTCTTATCATATGATAAAGCAATCACACTCTTAACTATTTACCTAAGTGAGCTGAAAACTGATGTCTGCACGAAAGTTTTCACACAAACATTTTTAGCAGGTTTATTCATAACCGCCAAGAATTAGAAGCAACCAAGATAAGCCTTTCTTTTTTCTATTTTTTAAGAAACAGGGGTCTCACGCTATCACACAAGCTGATCTCACACTCCTGGTCTCAAGTCATTCTCCCAGCTCAGCCTCTCGAGGAGCTGGGACTACACGGGCCAGATACTGTACCTGACTCAGGGTGAACCTTTCAACAGGTGAATGGATAAGCAAACTGTGGTACGCCCATACGAGGGAATATTTATTCAGCGATAAAGAGAAATGAGCTAGAAAGGCACAAACCCTTGGAGAGACTTTAAATGTATACTGTTATATGAAAGAAGCAAGTCTGAAATGGCTACTAACAGTACCATTCCAAGTATATGATATTCTGGAAAACGTAAAACTCTCAGGGTAGTAAAAAACATCAGTGTTTGCCAGGGATTAAAGGGACTGGGAAAATTGAGGGAGGGGAGAGTGAGGATTAGGGGGAGCACAGGTTATTTTCAGGGTAGTGAAAACTCTTCTGTATAAGACTGGGAGGGTAGATACATAACATGTACTTGTCAAAATGCACAGACCCACAGAACACAAAGAGTGAACCTTAAAATACCTTATTTCGAGAACTCTGTTTCTTCAGACCTTATCACAAAATACACTCAGGTTCCAACCAAATAAAAATGTTAACACTCAAATGATGGAATCAAATTCTTAAAAGCTTGGGCAAAGAGCAATTATTTATAGCAGCAAGATTCTACACAGGAAACCAAAAGGAAGCAGCTCAGGCAGGCAGCGTGCATCACCCCCAGTTCATAAGGGACCCCACACTCCCTTAGGGGAACACATTCCCAAGCTTGGGACCCACCCTAACTGTGGAGATGGAGTCTAAGGTGGGGTGACTTCAAGGCAGTGCCTGAGGGAAACTTAAGCAGACAGAAAACTGAATTCTGAGAGCTCCAAACACCCTACTGTCCCCTCCTCACAGTGTGGAAATACTCCTTCCACCAGGGTGCCAATTCCCACCAGTGACCAAACACTCACCTGGAGTGACTTGAAGGATCTGACTTGTATTTTTTTTTTCTGAGACCAAATGTATGGTGTTTGCCGAACACCAACCCATTCTCCAAAACCAACTGTTTATCAAACCAGTCCATTCTGAAACCACCTGGAGTAAGCAGAGACCCCACAATTTGCTAGCTGTTCCCACAACACAGTCCCCACTGCAGATGCCAGTCATAAGTCCCAGGGGCCACCTGTAGTTCTGCAAAATAAATTGGGGACCCCCATGAGTCCCTCCTCGAGTTCAATAATTTGATAGAACCACTCACAGTTCACTTACGTTTACCCATGTACTATAAAGGACACAGCTCAGCAACAGCCCAATGCAAGAGATGCCAGGTCAGGTAAGTGGCAGGGGACAGGGAGTGGGGATGGTAAGTAATCCTGGCAATAGGTATGATTGCAGAAATCTCCCCATCCTGGTGTCCTGTAAGAGCAGCTTACTGCAAAGAAACACCCTTCCCATTCTGACTTAGATTGTGCTCCCTTTTTTACACCGATTACAAAGGCAGACGCAGACTAGAAATTCCCAGTTTTCACCTCCCGAACGATTAGGTGAACAGCTTTGTTTTCAGTGATCAATCAGAAGAAAATACCTGTTAACCAAATTTTAAGCATCTCTCCTTCCTCCAGGCCTCTGAACGCTGATCCACCTTTTTCTGAGACCAAAATACAACTCCTCTTATGACCCCTCTTAAGAACAGGCTGACTTCAAGGTCTAGGATCTGATTTCGCCCCTGCTCCTCCACGCTCTTTGCTCTTTCTAATCTTCTTCGTTTCTCCCTGTGATAGAAACTCCTTTTCTGCCTAACCTTTGAGAAATCGTCCTTTAGAGTAAAGTCATTCCTTATCTAACTCCAGATTTGTTTCATTAGAAACATCTAGAAAAAGCCCCAGGACAACAATTAGAACGTCTGGGCCGGGCACAGTGGCTCACGCCTGTAATCCTAGCTCTCTGGGAGGCCGAGGTGGGAGCATCGCTCGAGGTCGGGAGTTCGAGACCAGCCTGAGCAAGACCGAGACCCTGTCTCTACTAAAAATAGAAAGAAATTAATCGGACAACTAAGAATACATAGAAAAAATTAGCCGGGCATGGTGGCGCATGCCTGTAGTCCCAGCTACTCGGAGGGCTGAAGCAGGAGGATCGCTTGAGCCTAGGAGTTTGAAGTTGCTGTGAGCTAGGATGACATCACGGCACTCTAGCCCGGGCAACACCGTGAGACTCTGTCTCAAAAAA